CACGCCTCCTCACAATTTGGGTCTCCTACAATGGGGGAATTAGCAATTCACAAGGGGGCCATCCTTGAAGTGGGGCGGGCTGTACACAGTCCAGGCTCTGGCTGGTGACCCGGACAGGCTGCAACGGTCTATTCACCCAGCCCTTAGCACCATTTTAGCACCAGACATTCCATAAAAAGAGGATTATTTTTTCTTGCTATGTCTCTGGTGGTCTGTGTCCTGTCTTTCCTTTCCCCTTGGTTTTCCAGTTTCCTATGTCCCTGCTCCTCCATTCTCCTCTCTCCTATATTGTCTCCATATTTGTCTCAATCTCCACCCATTCTTCCTGTTGTATTCATTTGGATGGAATAAATGGGCCCAGAGAGTCAAAGTAATTAATGTGATCCCATCATTATACAACACTAGACAGTTAAACAAGACTCAGGTTTTAAGTAGAGAAATCTCAGCCTGCTTAGACCCAATCATCTGGGACCTCCCCCGATCTCCACGAGTTTTCAAAGATAATGGCCAGTGGCTATGCAATCACATCAACCAACTCCCTCAGCACCCTTGGATGCATTAGATCTGGACCCGTGGACTTGTACATGTCCAGATTTTCTAAATAGTCCTTAACCTGTTCTTTCACCACTGAGGGCTGTTCACCTCCTCCCCATACTGTGTTGCCCAGGACAGCAGTGTGGGAGCTGATCTTGTCTGTGAAGACCCAGGCAAAAAAAGCATTGAGTACTTCAGCTTTTTCCACATCATCTGTCATCTGTCACTAGCATCTGTAACATCCCTTTATTTCTTTTCCCTCTAGCTTTAGAGAGATTTTGGAAGCAAAAAGAAACCCCTGTCTGACTATCTCTTAGATGGTATTACAGATAGTAATAGCTATCCTTTTGGGGAGGAGAGAGAAATTAGTTGAGATGGGCTGGAGCTGCTGCTGCTGCTGTTAAAGTCCAATCCCATTTCCTAGATGACAAATCAAGACAAACGGACACAAGAGGGGAGAGAAAAGTCCAGCAAATATAGAAAATGCAGCTTCTGTCTCTGGTGCTAACTCTCACGTGCTGCCTTACTGCTGGAGAAACACACGCCCAGCACATGATCTGTGTCAAGCTGTCCTATAGTGGCTGAAGAGGGTGAGTACCAACCTCAGCGCAGACTGTTAAGAATCAGGGCACAAACTCAAAATTAGTTAAGTATCAGGGGGTAGCCGTGTTAGTCTGTATCTACAAAAACAACAAGGAGTCTGGTGGCACCTTAAAGACTAACAGATTTATTTGGGCATAAGCTTTCGTGAGTAAAAACCTCACTTCTTCGGATGCATCTTTCTTAATCTGATTGAGTATGACATGGGTGAAGACTTTATACACTTGGTATACGGGACCATCTGTCCCAAAGGCAAGCTTGCCTGTGTGGAGCAGAGTACCCAAGGGACCTGTTATAGTGCTTGAGGAGTTCACACTTGATACTTGGTTGATGAAATATAAGTATAGAACTCACAACTAATTTTGAAAACAACAAGGAGTCTGGTGGCACCTTAAAGACTAACAGATTTATTTGGGCATAAGCTTTCGTGAGTAAAAACCGAAGAAGATGCATCCGAAGAAGTGAGGTTTTTACTCACGAAAGCTTATGCCCAAATAAATCTGTTAGTCTTTAAGGTGCCA